CCCCAAAACCCCAAAACCCCAAAACCCCAAAACCCCATAAAATTTCCCAAAAATTGAGGAATTAATCATCATCAAGTTCATCGCTTTCCACTAAAAATGATAAATTTTGACTTACAGCTCTCAGATTCATGACTTGCTAGATAATTTAAAAGGTTTAAGCTTACATGGTACGAATTTCATTGGTTTTCTGAATGCATTGCCAAAACCTTCAGCTCTCTGGTTCCCTCTGTCAATAGACTAAAGAATAACCTCCAAGCTTACCTCTGATTCGGACCCAGACGGTGTCGAGGGAGCTTGCTTAGCTTTCTTCTTATACTTCGGCTGATCAATTGTCATGCTTGGCTGCATATCTTCACTTTGCTATGGCACAGGTTAGTAGTACTCATAAGGACTTGAAGAGTGTCCTTTGGTACTTACATGGTCATTTATAGTACTATAAGACTCTTCTTGAGGAGTAAAGTTTATTTTCTTATCGTTCATATTAATCTCTCTCCCAGTCGCCTTTCTGCTCATCTTAGGCTTGGCATTATGCTCTGATTGGGTAGAGTCAGATTCTGACTCAAAACTGGCTTCAAATATTTTATTTTCTTCTTTTGATTTGACCTTCTTTTTAAGGGATGATTTTGGATCGATTTCTGGTTCTAAAGAGGTAAAGTAAGGTTAAATGATGGTTTAAAGAAGTTTTGACACATTTAAAGCAAATTTTTGGTGGTTTTGACCCTAGAAGTGGGCCATAATTTGCTGGGTTAATTTTTAGAGGTTTGATAGATATTTTCTATTTTATACGTATTTTAATATGAATTTTTGTTAAGAGATTTTCAGAATATATTGCAAGGAGTATGAATCAATCAAAGTTTAAAATAAGCTAACTTACTGTTATCAGACTTCTTGAGTATGCTCTTAGGCTCTAGGAAAATTAATAAATATAATATACTCATTGGATTCTTATGCTTCTTAGAATTTCCGTCCTGTGATTTTCCAAACTTAACTTTTGTTGGACTAGGATCAGGTGTGATATCAAGCAGCTTGCTATCTTCTCTAACATTTAGATCATTAAATTCATCTTCATCAGATCTACAAATAAACAAAATTGCTTACGAAGGGAAATCATGGCTATCAAATGAAGTTTCTTCTATTCCATTCCTCCCTAAAACATATCAGAGGGATCCTACTTTTTGGTGTTGCTGCTTCTGAGGCACTCTCATACAACTCCGCAGCAGCTTTGCCAGATCGTTTCATCGTGCTCATTTTCATGTACAGATCCTTGACATTGACTCCTTCTACCTCAATTTCGGCCTATAAATAACCTAAAATATTACCAAATCAGCGACTCTCTTCTTCTTTGGATGTTGTGACTTAATCTTTTTAATAGCTAGGCCAAGTATGTTCTTCTTTAGATTATTCGCTAGCTCATTCTCTTTTTTCTTATGCAGCTCTTTCTCGGCAGGAGTCATTTTAACGTACTCAATAAACTTAGTCTCCTCTAATTGTTATACAAAATTAAGTACCTTCTTCGATCTTGCTGTCCTGAACTTCCTTAAAGACAGAACTTTTCTTCTTCTTGATATGCCTGTTTGTCATCCAAGAATGGAATAAAGAAACACAGAAGTGTAGGAAAGAAAGGAATATCTTGACAGCCAAAACGAGTCCCAGGACTGCTCCGATGTAGAAGATTACATCATCGTTGCCGTTCCTAGACAGTGTGATTATTGCAGATCCTGTGATGAGATTACAAAGTATCCATCATACAAGGAAATTTGATCTGAAATTTTTGTAGCTTTCTACTTTTCTCTTCTCTGCAGCCTCGCTTAAGGGGTCGTAGACTGCTGGTCTTGATCCCCAAGAAACATCGTGGATATTAGAGATGGCAAAGATAGTGAAGATATTTACATATGTTGGGCTCATGAAGAGACTATAAATAATTCCTTTAATAAAATCAAGAGTTCTAAGCTTTGTCACATTCAGGGCCAAGGGCAAAACATAGGATAAGAACCATATACACACAAAGATAATTGCGTAGTTTTCTAGGAAATCTTCTTGAGTTGCATAAATAATTGTCGCTACCAGCATCACTATGGCGAAGCAGCCCATTCCGAACGATCACATTCTGTAACCAGTCTCAGCCCATTTTACATCAACTGTGATGGAAAGCATGAGGACAGTAGCTAAGAAGATGAGATAGATATTTTCAATGATATTTGCAGGCTTAGTCAGATTGTATCACTCATCATTATCAAAAGCTTTACGAATGAAAATACTAAATGCCCCGTAGAAGAGTCCGACCAAGATGAACGACAGGAATGTATTGGCCATCATGTAAATGTATAGTGTTGCGAACCCAAAGAAGCGAGGGAAGAAAGTCTTCCTCTTTCAGATTCTTCCCATACTGAATAGGACATGGAAAGTAGCAAACATTGAACCGTTAAACCATCTTCTTCTTTGCTTCAGCAACCCTGTTAAGCTCATTGGAGGATCTGTCAAGCATTTAGCTCCTGGGATATAGTGGATGATAAAGTTTTCATGTGCCTTTGCAATGATTTCGAGACACATAATACGATCTTCAGCTAGATATTTGTTCGCCTTGTATCAAGGAACAATTTTCCTAGATGTTGAGAATTCATCTTTTGCCCCAAGTAAGAATGTATCAAGTGGAATTCCACGAATTCAATCCCAACGGAAAGTTGAAAATGCTCCTGGGAGGACAGATACAAAACCGAATAGTGATTCTGTGGCTTTGTCAAGATAATGAGAGACTTTGTACTCTACATACTGAGCCCTAATAATAGCTCCTTCTATGAAACTAACACCTGAATAATCTTCCTTATTTTTCTGGAACCATTCATTCGATTTCGCCTCATGCTCCACCAACAGTCTCGAAGCATTCCATGTGCATGATGATGTGGGAGATTGAATTCCAAAGTGGGATGGATCCACAGTCAATAATCTGAGCAAAAGTAGGATTAGTGTAAGCACAGAATCCCTTAAAGAACCACTTGTGACTTTCAATTTTCCCTTGATTTCTATGCTTGATCATGAAATGAATGGGCATTTTCAAGTGCTTGAATTTCTTATGCTTGACTTTTCCAGTAGTATCATTTCCAAGTAGGAAATCATTGATGTCATAATTGTCGATCTTGAGTCCATCCTGCTTGGTGTCATCAAGCCCGGACATCCACTCATTAAAGTCCATGTACTTCGAGAAGGTATGGGCTACATTATAGGATCCATACTTTCTTTCCTTATCATTCATATTATTCTTGTTGATGAAAGACAGAGGGAGGTATTTCCTTTCAATTTCTATATTTCCGTCTTTCAACCCAAAATCTTTGAAATCTTTTATTTCCTTTGTATTAAAAATTCCAACATCTTCGAGCTTCGAGAGGTATGACTGAGGGTCAAGTTTCTCGATTCCATCTGAGATGATGCAGATATGCACTCTGTCCTTGTAAGATTCATCGATGTTCACTATAATTTATGAATAATATGTCTAAAGGTACATTACTCACCTAATTCATAGTATGAACGATAAATTCCAGCAAGGGATTCAGCTAGCTGGAAGATCGGCTCATTGTATTGAGTGATACAAATGGCTAGCTTAACTTCACTATCCTTAGCGAATTGAATGAGGGATTTTTCAGGGAGATTATCCTCAGAAAGTTCTGATTCATCTTCTACACACGCACCTCCTCTGTGCAGTCTGAGCTCAAAGTTAGTGGCTGTTGGAACATTTGGAGTATTATTGACCATTGTCAAAGGGAGGTACTTCAATTCTGTATCATAGTCTTCAATATAGCATTCTTTTACGCTCTCCTAGACCCATTTGTTATAAAGTAAACCAAACCCCTTTAAAATTAAATTATATACTTTGAACAATTCTTGAACTAAAAGTCATATTTTGTTCGAAGATGAATTTTCTTAAAAATTTGAACAATGATTTCAAAGAAAAAGTTCTAAACACAAAACAACTTCAGACAGGTCAGTAAAGGTAGGCTTATCTCTGTCAAGGTCTAATCACTAGGGGATTGCTTACCTCTGGAAGGACCTGGTTGTTCTTAATTACATTTCTGGAGTCTGAACTGCTTTCTTCCATTTGAACAAATATTATAACAAAGCAATTTTATTTAGTTTAAATGGGGTTTTGGGGTTTTGGGGTTTTGGGGG